GAAAAAAAAGCTCAACCTCTCCGTTGGGCGTAAATATTCAACTATAGAACTATACAAATTCTCAATGGCACCCCTGTAGCCATAACGCGCGGTGCGTGGGAACCTCTCGCCCCCCCCAAGCAGAGCCGTGTGTTTATATTCTGCAGATAAAACGATTTTTTGGATTTTTCGCCTCTACCTTTGACCAAGATGGAAGCGGTAGCCTTTAATTTCTATCGTTGGCCACACATTGTTGATAGCAGAATGAATTGCTATTTCAAAATCCACAAGAATACGACAATTTTTAATGTTAAGTTTTACATCAATAAAATATTTTTATGTGTTCTAAAGCTTCCAAATATGATTCTTGTCTTTTATTGAATAATATAATAAATATTAAGGATTTTGTATCACTTTCGAGAATATGAGTTGAATGTTTAGAGAATTGTAAAACGCACACGAGTTTATTCTCCAAATGTTGTAGACTTTTTATAACGGGAATTTTATCTTTAAAATTGATTTTAAAGGCTATTTCGTTTTTTGACGTACTTAAACACATTTTAATATGTTAATACGTTTTTATAAACATAAAATATTCAGTTCGGTCGCGTTTAAAGTAAAAAAAATGTATTTTGAAATTAAATAGATTCAGGATTTTTACGAAAAAAAAAAAAGATTTAATTAAATTTAATAGTTATATTAAATTAATACTACTATATGTGTGCAAGAATCCACGATTAAAAACTTATGCCATGGAAATTTAAAAGAAAAAGGGTATTTCAAGTATTTTGGAGAGAAACAAGGCAATTTGGATGGGAAGGAGATAGCACTAAATAAAGATCAAAGAAGAAAGAGAGAAAAAGAAAAGAAAATTAATATCAAGTTGTACTTAATATTACATTATTATGGACGTATTGTTTTAGATTCTGAGTGTAGTGATTTTTTCATATCGAATTGACGATCAACCTCACGAGTCAACTTGTTGTTACTTAAATTATTAATAAAGATACATTTTAATATTTTTTTCGCTAATAATAATAATTGAAAGTGTAAAAAACTTAAAAATTAAAAACGAATACAAATAAATATTAAATATGTTACACTGACATCACAACTTAAACTATTTTCTTTTAAATTGGTTTCATACTTTAATAACCGATTTGTAACCATTCGTAATGATTCGTAATTTAATGTGCGGGTGCTGGTGTAACTTTATGCTAGCACCCGTTTGGGAAAAACGGTTTTTCTGGTACTTGGTTTAGGTTACGAATTCCAAATTTGTGGTTACGAACGATTACGAATCGGTTACTAAAGTATGGAACCATTTTAAAAGAAAATAATTAAAGTTGTGGTGCCAGTGTAACTTACCTATAAATATTATGATATAGCTGCCACACACTTTTTAATTCCGTAGTGTGCACACTTAACATTTCGTATAACACAAAGTGTGTCGTACTACACACAATTTTAGTCCCTGCGATAGTGGTACTCACATAATAATTTATTTAGGTAGCATAAAAAAAATTGTCCGATCTCATAAATAAAAAAACGCTCAATTTTACGATATTCTAATGATATTGTACATAG